AATAGTCATTTTATGCAATTTGCATAGGATGATTTTATTTGAAACCAAGGCAGGTATTTCTTTCTCTCTGCACTCATAATGCCGAAATGAATTATACAGTAATTCCACCACCCACCTCTAAAGAGCGCCTGAAATTAGTTAACAAATGGCTGCAAAATACTTCGCAATCATGAAATGCAAAATAAGACTATCATGCCCATAAATTCTTCTGCATAGCACAACTGGATCGTGCTTAGATGGAAAGGGATAAATAAAAAGGCAAATACCCTGGAAGTAATCTTCTGGGTCAAAGGTGAGGAGGAGGGTTCTATAATGAGGTTCCTCTGGATATTAAAATTCTCCGCCTCTCTGGTAAGTCTCACCATGGCCTCAGGAGACATAGATAAAGGTGTGGAGTGAGCTGGCCCTTCTACATAAAGATTTAAATAAAAACTTGCAGCCTGTGGTGCAAAAACAACCTTTAATTTTAAATATTTTACTGGAGTCTTAAAAAATCCTAAACCCAACTCGAGTCAGCTCAGTCCCTGATTGGTGAAAATGATTTGTCCCCCTACGCTACCTGCCTGCCAGAGGTTAGGGTGCGTCCAGTGGGCATGGAAAAATAATTAGCAATCAGAGCACCCTTTTCTACCCCCAGCCAGAGGAGCCAGTAGGCCTCTGAAGTCTGCCTGACGGGAGACCCGGAAGCGCCCTCAGGAGGCCTGCCTTGGGGCTGAGCAGTTCCTTTTCTCACCCTTCCTGGTGTTTGGGCCCATCAACATGGCCAGATCCGCCAGAACATACTGAACCTAATAAGCAGAATGCTGCACTACAATAGAATAAATCTAAACACACACCCAGCCTTCTTATACCTGACTGTCCATGTATGGGTCTCCATCCTGGAAAGCCTTAGATGTGAATCCTCAACAGGAACATGTTAAGATGCTATGATTTAAAGATAAGCCAACATAACTTAAGCGCTGATAATCTGTAAGTCACAGTAAAAACTCTGCTCAACAGCCAAAACTGGGAAACATAATTAATATGCAACTTCAGTTTTAACTCCTATTTCCAATACTAATGAAAAATGTATTCATTCATTCATTTAGAAATAAAATATCCTGAGCACCTGTGACAATGGAGAAGCCACTATAATCTGCACAGGCTAGGTCCTACCCTCATATTGTTTGCAGAACAGCAGAGGAAAAACAAGGAAGCAAGACAGCGAGAGTGAACAGAGCTGTCATTAGGGAAGAACAAAGTGCCATTTGCTGGGGCTGGAAGTCAGGAGAGATTTCCCGAGACATGTGATGCCTCAGCGGAGACCCAAACAATGAAAAAGTGTAAGAAATGGACGAATATTCCAGGCACAGGAAAATCACGAACAAGAGGACTAGAGGCAAGAGAAAACGCATCCATTTGGCAGACGACAATGAAGTTTGTCCTGGAGCAGAGAGGTGGCAGGGCATGGAGAGAGAGAATGCTGGAGACACAAGAGGGGTCCAAGCAATGAAAAGAAGGCTCTCTAAGGACTGTAAGAGAAGTCAGAAATCACAGCAAGGTATTAAAGGAGAAGTCATAAATAGTCGTATTTTATTTAAAAAATTCTGATTGCGTCATGAAGAAAGAATTGGAGAGGACCAAGAAACAAGGTCTGGACAGGAGAGAAATGGTCACTGAGTCATAGCAATTGGAAGAGAGACACATGAATGGATGTAGAAGTTATTTATAAGTTAGAAGAGACCAGACCCGATTGGGCAGACTAACACAGTGAGTAAATATTCAGTTGGCTTGAGTTCAAATCCTGACTCTGCCACTTACAGGGAAAGTTGCTTAATCCTTCTGCACCTCAGTTTCCCTTTCTGTCGTGTAGGAACAATAATGGTAGTGCCTGCTCGTGGGATTATTATGAAAGATAAGATAATTCACAAAGTACTTAGAGCCATTCATGGTGCATTGTCAGTGCTCAAAAAATATTGTCTGTTGAGTGTAATAGCTCAAAACTAGAAACAATGGTTCATTAGCCATAGACTGGCATGTGGGAGAAAAGAGGAGGAAAACAGCCACGGACCCTATAAAGGAGTTTGGGGCCTGGACAAAAGGCAAAAGGGTGGATGATGCTGACTGCGCCAGCGGCCGAGTTGCTGCCCCTCAGCTCCAAATCCACTCTTCATCTCCTGCTCTGAGATCACGGACATGGACCCGGTTAGTGCTCCTCCTTTGCAGCTGGCATTTGGCTCTTTCAATAAAAGGCAGGAAGACGGGACTTTTTCTGGTTCCGATGTGCTTCCATTTGCTTCTTTTTGCTTCTGTGCAGGGCTGCCTATGGTGCATGTGGGGGACATCGCCCCCCTCAAATTCCAGCAGCCCGGGCCCATGGAGTCGGAGAAAACCCAGAGGCTGCCTTCCCAGCCGCGGCCCGTCTGCGCCCCGGAAGGGGGCCTCCCACGTGCAACCGCGGCCGGCACGGCCGGGCGCAGCCCAGACTTCTCCACAGTCCACACCTTCTTCAATATGGTCTGAATTCCAGTCACTGTGTCCTCTCCTGGGGTCCTGTCCCTTGGCCCCAGGATGTTCTTTACCCTTTCATAGTCCCTGTTATAGTGCGTAATTCTTTATATTAATCATGTCCTGGTCAACTCACTGTGTGTTTTCTGTCTCCTGATTGGGCCCTGCCCAACACAGTGCTCTTCATTGAAATGGAAAACATAGCAAGAGAGACAGGTATTGAAAAGATAAATTCCGCTTTGGACACTCCGGGCTTGCGGTGCTTGCCGGACATCCCGACAGCGCTGTGTGGTAGGAAGCCGAGTCTCTGGGGGGTCTGGGGCTGAGGCGGTGTGTCCAAGCCAGACAGAGGCTCAGAAGAGAATAGCTTTCAAGCCTCTAAAATCTTAGTAAATGAAGCTTGTATGTAAATGCCACATGTCAGGGAGACAAATATGTATTTTTAATTTTTTGTGTGCTCGTATGTCTCATCAAGAACCCCTCAATGTGCTATATATGTGGCAGTATGTTTCATCAAAAGACTTAGGGTGATTTTGTATTGCGTATGTTAGGTAATGTTGTTTTATATCTATTAACGTTTTCAAAACTAGCTGCAAAGAGGGTTGAAAACAGCCGAGCTCTACAGTGAGATGACTCTAATCGCAGTCCCAGCTCGGAAGCTCACACCTGGCAGGGGCGGGGGAGGCATTAGTCACATCAGCTGCTCCGGACCCGCAAGCAGGACAACTGGAAGCGGCGCGGAGACCTGGGGAGCTGCTAGATACAAACATATTTTGAAAGAGACCTAGGCCAGTCCCTTCTACTTTTTCCAGAGTGTGAACTCGACCAACATAACTTGCTCCTTGCTTCTCCCATTTCTCAAAAGTTTGGAGCTAGTGACCACAAAAAAAGGAAGTTCCATCAGCAGTTTGCAAAGAAACAATTTAGAAGAGAAATGTATTAAATCCTCAGGGAAATTAAGCCCAAATAATCCAATAACAGTGTTACAAAATTAACAATAGATTATGAATTGAATTAATTGCCTCCTACTGTGGGGATCCTGTGGCTACCCACAGACCAAAACAAAGGCACCGATGATGTCAATTGCCTTAATAGAGAGGCTGTGGGCAAGGGTGACTTGGGGTACCCTAGAGTTTACCCACTGGTGTTGTCAACCTTCTGATTTATTCTGGAGATCTACACTACAGAGAAAAGTCTTCACTTCTGCCCATCCCATACCTCAGATAATGGCAGGTTAGTGAAAGAGGCCAAAGGCAGTACAATCCTTGGGACAAAAGGTGCAATTTTATGACTCGCTTTTGTGAATTCACCTCTAAGTGTCCATGTCTAAAAGCAGCTAGGGTGTTGGAAATCAATCAATGTGTTGTTTTTTTCTCCGGAGAGGGTTGAGTGCACAGGTGGGAACAAGTAATGATTTCTCTAGAACCCAGGCAGGCTCGTGATAAGGTGGGTCTTTGATAATAGCAGGCATCTGCTCCAAAAGGGACTCTTTGGCATTTCAGTAAATAAGCATTTATTTCCGTAAGTTCTTTTCTTACACAACGATGTCTGTATGCCTGTGGCAATGTGAGATTACTTAAATAATATGGGCCAGGGGAACCACAAAATCAGCATGTGTGTGACTTACCACACTTCTGCAAGGGTTCTTACGGGCTTTGAGGAAGAAAGTAGGATGCGGCATCTAGTAGAAATAAAATTCCAGTGATTTATGCAGTTTTGCCAAATAAGGCCCACAGGGCAAATATGGAAGGCCTTGAACTGCCTCCAGCTTCTCCTGAGACAGCCAGTTTGTCAAAATGCCCATCACATGGTCTTCTGCACACCCTTCGCGTTTCAGCTGACATTTACTCCTGGAGCTTTTTAATAACAAAACAGCATTTTACAAAAAGTTAATTAATGGCATTTTATTTGGGTATTATGGGACTTAGAATTATTTTCACATTCTTAATTTTGTTTGACATTTTGAAAACACTATGCCTAATTCTTTTGTGTGGATAAAAAAAAAATTTAATGTGGCTAGCATGTACTGAATACTATTTTTTTCCTTCTCCCAAGAACTGACGCAAACACCAATATACTTTCTGTTTGAGCTCAGAGAAATAAAGCATTCTGTTTGGAATCTTAATTACTATGGCCCCAAACTTATCTAATTAGAAGCTCCTTTATAATGGGAAAAAATTATTTTCAAAGTTAATGAATTTGTAAGCAGAAACACTGTTGTCTTCTAGAATGAATAACCCACATTCGTTATATACGTATTTTAGTTAAACACTGTAATTAATATTAGTACTTAACACATGTGGGATTGATTTCCCTGTTAAAGCAAATTCTCCTTTGTTTTCAGACAGTATAAAAAGACCGCAATTTCCCTTCTTGGAGACATCAGGCTGCACATATAAACTTAATTCTAAATTTTGGACAGAATAAAAGTTATTTCATCAAAACAATTCATTTTATGGACCTTAGCCACCTCGAGCTCATTAACATCAAACGTCTTTTGTGCAAATGAATTAATGATGTGCAATCTTCATAGCAAAGAAAATCGTGACAAACATTCTGAGGTAAGTTTTTTAACTCTATCTAATGTGACCAGTATTAACTATAGATTTGCCCAGAATCAAATGCTTTTATGAAGAGTAAGGAAGAGTTTGTTGTGCTTTCTTTTTTTTTCCCAACATCAGCCTTCCCATGACAGTGGATTGATGCAACACACATTTCTGAACACAACAGCAAACAGCCTGGCCTCTTTGATGAAAGTGTAAGTACAGGGTATCATCCTCAGCAAGCACAGGGTGTGTTAATAATTTTCAGTTGACTCAGAAGTACACAGTTGTAATAAATAGTTTCAGAATTAAGATCTGGGTACATTTCAGCTGGACATCTGAACTGTCTTCAACTACAAACAAAAAAAAATATGACATTTATATTATCTACTTAGCAAATGCAAGCTGGTAAGTTTGTGGTAAATCTAATTAAAATATTTATCCATAGATGGTGGAATTGCAAGTTATTTTGATTTTCATCTTTATGCTTCTAGATATTTTCCAAATTTGCTGAAACAAGTACATATTACTTTTTACAGTCAGAAAACAATCATTTAAAAATCTTTATATGGACAAACATCGATGGTTAAACTAAATCTAATTATGCAATTGCTGTATTTTAACTGGTTTCTTTAAGGTTGGTATACTACTGGGGCAGGAGCCCACAAACTAACTGGTGCTTTACTAAAAAGGTAATTTATATACCAGTAAAAATACAATCTGTTTCTTGAGAAATGCTTTTAGACTCCAACTCTCAATACAAAGTGGTGAAAATGAAATTCAGGGAAGACTCCTTCATCCATACCTCAAACCCTGGCTAACATCTCTGTTTCCATGTTCCAGCACAGAGAGGAAAAAGAGACATCAACGACATGAATCAAAAACCGAAAGAGAGTAACTTCAGTAAAATAAACTTTGCCTCATTTCATAGCTCATTATATTCCTGCTGCTCAAACACATTGCTGTATTCACTCTATATATTTTATTAATATTGTATAGTTGTCTTACAATAGTCCAGGGACAGAGAAACTAGATTGCTTTAAGAAGCTTAATGCGAATTATTTATTCAAATATTCTGTACACGAAAACACAAACTTTGTTCATAGCTTTAACAATTCTACAGATTAAAGCCTGGATTTAAGTTAATTTCGGGTTGAAATCTATTGCATATAACAATAATAAGTAATGTTAATGATCATTTCTAATGGTAGCCTAGAGAAGACCTTAAAGGGGAAAAGAAAATAAGTCTCAATTTTGAAGAATTAAAAGACTGGGGTCCAAAAAATGTCATGAAGCTGAGCACACCTGCAGTCAACAAAACGCCACGCTCGGGAGCCACGCTGCCCCTGAGGTGTGGGAGGGCCTTGGGAGGGGGAAGCAGCGCTGGAGCAATGGCCAACCTGCCTCTGAGATGTGGAAAGAATGTAGAGGAAAGCATCTCAAGGCATGTTTCTTACCTGCCCCAAAGGTTTGGGAGAACAACAGCCGAGAGTGTCACCACAACACTGAGTGACGTGCTCAACAATCTAAGCATTCGCCATCTGTCAGTGAGTTGCTTTGCTCCATGACCTGCCAGCCCCCAGAAATCCAGAATCCTGATCAAAAACTCTGAGGTAAATACCTGAAAGCCTATTAAAATGCATGTGCAGTTACGTACTGCTGGTCCAGAAACTTTAAAAAGGATTACGGCTTTTCAGCCCTGGCTGGTGGGGCTCATTTGATTGGAGCATCATCCAGTAATCTGAAAGTCTGAGGGTTCGATTCCCACGAAGGGCACATACCTAGGCTGTGGGTTCAGTCACCGGTCAGGGAGTGTTCGAGAAGCAACCCATCCATGTTTTTCTTTCACATCAGATATTTCTCTCCCTCTCTCCCCCCCTCCCTTTCCCTCTCTCTAAAATCAATAAGCATGTCCTTGGGTAAGGATTAAAAAAATTTTTTCAAAGGATTTTGTCTTTTCAAAAGAATTTTCCAAGAAAGTTAATTTTCTTAGAAGGAAAAAGGTAAAAACACAGGGAAATAAATACCTATAAATTGAGCGCTACAGGAAGTGAGATATAAACATGACTATAGGTATAAAGTAATGAGCTTTCTTCTCCTAAGCCCCACATGGGCTACCTCATTACTCTATAGCCTCACACTAAGTAGGGACATGCAGTGACAGGACTGGGAGTTTAAGCCTATGACATTGTCCAACATTTGACCTCTTTAACATAAAAGGCCCCATATGAGTTGTCTGAAAGTACAAAGGACACCCAGTTCTCAAATTCAGAAGGTTTTCCTCCTGCACTTTAAGTCAAATTCTCTTCTGGATCTCCTTTCATAAATAATTTCTGTTATTATAATCATGCATAGTAGACCCTCATTATTTGACAGAATGAACAAAATGACATGAGAAGCACTGATAAGGTCCTATGAAGGGTCAATAAAAAGAGAATGTTTCTTCATGTGGGAATCCAGGGATGTTTCATGAGTTGGACTTTAAAGGGTGGCTCATTTTGAACCTTCAGAGACCTGTGAAAGGAAAGAGAATATTTTCAGGCAAAGAGAAGGGTATGAGCAAAGGTAGTAAAGCGAGGTGAACAAAGAACAGCTGGGGTTCAGTTTGGCAAAGCAAAGAGCATGCAAAGAGGAGAGGAAAGAAGGCGAGAAGGATGAGGCAGGGGCACAGAGTGCAGACACTTGGGGCTGGGTAGAGAACTGGAGGTGTTCTCCATCAGGAGAAGGAAAACCGACACTGGTGCTTCTGCTGAGGTCCTATGATGCTACATGGATTTCATTTATTTATCATTTTTAGAGAAGGGAGGAGGGAGGGAGAAAGAAAGGGAGAGAAACATAGATATGTGTGATATATCGATGATAACATCAATCGGTTGCCTCTAACATGCCCCCAGCTGGGGACCTGACCCACAACCCAGGCATGTGCCCTGACTAAGAATCAAACCAGCAACCTTTTGGTTCACAGGCTGGCACTCAATCCATTGAACTATACCAGCCAGGGCCTGAAATATTACACAGAGGTAGAATCTGGCAACTGATTAGATGTTGGAAATAGAGCAGTGACGAAGGAGAGATGAGCCAATGTTAAGTTTGTGAGTCTGAATGCCCATTATGAGCTCATGATCCCACCAATATCTCACTCATTTCAAATGCAACAAAATTCAAGTGTAATTGAGCAATTAAGACCACAGGACTTGCATTTTTATATGTTCTCGCATGCTACTGTCTGATGGATGAAAACATTTTGTACTGCTTATGTTTTGAGAAACTGGCATTCAAGAAAATAAGTGATGTGGAATTGAAACAAGAAAAATAAGAAATCCAGAGCTTGTCCCTGAAGATCATATAAAGCTGTGGCCTGTGATCTGCAAACAACCCTGTAGCAAAGACAACGATGAATGAAGAGTCACTGCACTCTTTTAATGGGTTGCCACTGACAGCAATTTCTTTCTTTTCAGTACAGCTAGTATCTTGAAAGTGACATTAAAAATTTGAAGACTATTGTAATGTAAAGGTGAAATAATTTTTGTCTAAATAAAAAATAAAGCATTGCAAATACTTAAGAAGTCTCTAGTAATCAGGAGAGGAGCGGGGAGGGGAGGGAGAGTGGGAAGGAGCAAGAAGCCGTATCACTCACTATTCCATGTAAAAATCAAAATCTTTTTTCAAAATACAACTATTGCAATATCTCTTTAAGTGTCTATATCTGGAAATTTGCTTTCTGATGTATCTCCTTTCTCGTCATTTAATGTTTCAAGTATTTAATTTGCAGAAAAAAAGTCTAGTCACTCCTAAACTTAACAACTTATAAGCACAGCACACCACAACACAAATGCAGTTCTTTAACCTGAGTCATAAAAACATGAAGTCCTTCATCAGATATAACCGATTTATGGAATGGTCTCAACTCCACAGCATACACACCAGGAATGGTATGATTTTTCGCCACCACCCACCTTCCGGCCCCCGCCCCAGCTGGATCCCTTAATGACACACGGGACAGACTCCATAACTTCCTCGGTCACTTCTTGATATTAAAAAACTTCACCAAGTCCAGTTAAAGCCTTGACCTCTGATCTAAAGCCAAGTTCCCCTTCCCCCATCACAGGCTGGACTGGTGCTGGAAGGAAAAGCAGAAAGCGAAGGAGCATCTCTCTGCTCTTCCCTCCTCCCCTTTGTTACCTCAGAGGAGAGAGGTGGGAGAGAAAATGGCTGGCCTCCGGAAAATAGCCTCCTTCCTCTCTTCTCCAGGGTATTGGGGTGGGCAAAGGGGGGTAGGGGTGGAGAGCAAGAGCTGCCCTTTCATCCTCGCTGTGCATAATATCGCTGCTTCTACAAAACAAGTGAGTTCTTTGGGACGCACAGCAGGGGCTCCCAGACCTGGGTCTCTTCCAACGCCCCTCATCTCACCTGTACTCCCCATACCCACTCACTGCCAGATAGAAGGGCTCCCGCCGGCCACCTTCTCAGCACCCACCTGATCCAAAACAAATGCCCATTGTGCTTGCCATGCCAATGGCGAAACTGTGGGCTGCCTGTCAACTGCCACGCGGCTGCCCCCCGGGTCTCCAACTCTCTGCTCTGCTGAGGAGGAGCCGGGGCAGGTCAGTGAGTCTCCTGGGAAGCAAACAACCAGCCAGAGAGGAGCTGCCGGCCCCATCTTCACGGCCCCACTCTCCACGAGCGATTTTCCAGGAACCCATCTTGCGTGGCTTTGGGGTGAGGGGCAGGGCCTACCTCTCATACACAGCTGGGAGGGACACGGGTGAGGCAGGGGCTGGTAGAGCCCCGACACCTCTTCTGAATCCTGAACGGGGGCCTGGCCCCGTCGTCCATGACTCCATTGTCATGGAAGGTACCGAGTGCCTCTGCACCTCCGGACTTGGTCCCCAGTCGACAATTTTGAGCAGCAGAGAAAGTCTTAAGCAACACCCTGCTATGCTAATAAATAAATCAAACACAAGGCCACTTGGTCCCTTGAAACTGCATGACATAAGGAAATTTCTTACTGGATAATGTGGGTTCTTTACCTAAACCCTTGAAATGTATGGAAATTTATGGAAAATGTCAGGTGTCCCCCTACCTACTGGGCTTACTCTGTTTTAGCTCCTCTTCAGCCTCTTCACCAGTTTCCACCAGAAATCCATTCACATGAGGGATTTTACAGTTTTGCTGAGGCTCCATGGGATCCTGGGGAGGGGCCCACATTACACAGCATGTCATTGGAAAAGTCTCAATTAAACAAGCTGCCTCTTCCAAGTCTCTTTAACTGGACCATTGGCAGGGTCCCCTCCTCTTCTGACTTCTGTGGCTCACCTCCGGACGGCGTCATGGGCTTGCAACCCATGCGGCCACACAGGGCCCTGGGTTTGGTTAAATACCCTCTCATCACTGTCTTGAAATTCTTAATAACTTTGGACAAAGGGGCCAGTAATTTTATTTTGTACTGGGCCCAAGAAATTATGTAGCCTGCCCTGCTCCCCCCAGACTTGCCCTCCTGGCTCCTGTGCTCACATTCCCAACATCCAGTGCCTCTCCATGTCTATTAGTCAGTGTCCTGCATAACCCAAGGGCCAGCCTGTCATGCAGGCCCAGCAGGTCTACTTACATCCTACAGTGAGTATAAATACAGCTGTACAACTTGTGAGATGTGGTCAAAATGCAAATTTATGTTTGCATCCCACCATCCCCCTTAAAATGTAAGGGACAGGCAAAGGGTCACGCAGAAATCTTCCCCAGCCCTGCATAAAAGCTTGGCCAGGTGCCATGACCTTCACTGGTGCTCCTCACCAATGATGTCAGACCTTTGGCCTCTCTAAGTCAAAAACACACGTTCTTGATTGTACAATAATCAACATTTCACTGTGTTCAGGCATTCATTCATTCATTCATTCATTCATTCATTCATTCATTCATCCTCTACTGTTCCCAAGTGAGGCCTGAGTTCGGGGACGGGAGCGTGGTCAAATTCCGCCTACCCTCTCTTCAGCGTCACCTGGCTTCCTCACTCTCTCCTTTGTTGGACTTCCCTGGGATGGAAGAGAATTTGAGATGAGAAGCAAAGAGATGGTACAGTTCTTACCAGGGGGAATGGATTCACCCCTGAGGCCCAGAGGATGGTACCACCCACCATTGCAGGGCCCTCTCTCTGCAACTCTTCGGTTTTCCATGACACCTTTCAACTCCCAGGCTGGCCTCAGCTGTCACCCAGGGGCACAGGGACCCACTCCAGTCATATCCATGTCTCTTCTGGGGTCCTCCTCGGTAGGACTCAAAAGAGCTTCTCTCCCCTGAAGCCTCTATCTGCTCACCCCCGGCTCACCCTCCACATGGGAGGCCCTGCTCTATTCTGCCTCCCACAGACGCTTTAGCTGTCTGGCCCGGAGTTGGAGCCAGGCACCGGTCCTTTGTTCCTCTCAGCTGCGTGGAACACATTTCCTCATCCTAAGGAAGCCCCTCCCTGTGAAGGGGAAGGGACACAGTAATCCCCAGACACCTGGCCGTGGGGAAGGGGTGTTCACAGCAAGGTAACAACGCTCTCCAAAGAAATTTCCTCATAAACCCAAAT